ATTAATAATTCTCTTCAACATGTAAATTCTGAAACTTGAGAGGAATTGAAGAAGTGTGAATAACTATGAATTTATTGTAGATGTTTTTACTGAGTTTTCAGAGGTTTGCTTATTACTGACAGTATCAGCCCTGCCAGAGAAATTTATCAGATAAAATACTTTTATTTTACAAAGTTGTGAGGAAAAAATATGGTGGAAGGAACTTGTTGGTTTTGTTTTTTAATTTCCTTGTAGGAATGTGAAATTAGGGAAAGTTTTCTTGAATTGTGGTAAAGTCAAGTGGGATGGCCCTTGGACTTTAGAGTCATGCATATAAATCATACTCCTCCCTTACTAGTTGTGTCTGTGATTTTGGGCAAGTTAGTCAGCATTTCTGAACCTCATTTTCTTTCCTCGGTTTTTAAAATCAGTTGATCATGCATACATTTCTGAGTAGTTATTCAGTAAAACAAAATATATAAAGCGCCCAGCATAGATCCTAGCACATGGTAGGTAATCAGTAAATGTTATTTCCTTTTTCCTGTGCTCACTCCTGGACTATTTTTGGTGTCTTATTTATATCATATATGTAAGAGCTACAAAACCAAGATACATGTAATTATTTTGAAGTTTAAAATAGCAGATGTATTGAATAGGAGTGCTGAGAGAGCACAGTCTCATCTTGTTCCAGATCTGTGTGGTAAGGCATCCAATTTCTCACCATTATGTATGATGCTAGGTGTAAGTTTAATTTCAACTGATCTATCTTCAAGTTCACAGACACTTTCCACTGTCATCTCCATTCTCCTATTGGGTCTACCCAATGTATTTTTATTTCAGTTATTGTATTTATCAGTTTTGAATGTTCCATTTGATTCCTTTTTTAAATTTTCTGTTTCTTTGCTGAGATTTTCTATTTTCCCATTTGTTTCAAGACTATTCACCATTGCTTCTTTGAATATTTTTTATAATAGCTGCTTTAAAGTCTTTATCAGATAATTCTAACATCTGTATAATCTTAGTGTTGGTGTATGTGACTGTTTTTCCCTGGATGAGTTAAAATTTTCATGATTCATCATATGCCAAGTAATTTTGTATTGTGTCCTAGATATTTGTATATTTAGTTGTGAGACTCTGGGTCTTATTTAAATCCTATGGAGAATGTTTGTATTTTTGTTTTAGCAGCCGATCCAGTTAGGTCTCAGGCTGCAAGTTGTAACTTACCTTCTGTGAGCTATGGTTCCAATATCCATTCAGTTTTCAAAGCCATTGCAATGGTATTCTGACCTACAGTGCTATTCTGATCTGTCCTGTGTGTATGTCACCCATTTATAAGTTTGGGAACCAGGAGGTGGTCTATATGTTAGTTCTCAGAGTCTTTGGTATGCTAATGAGGATCAGATCCTTAGCTGTGCAGCTCCTGGGTGAACCCTGGAATTCATAAACAATTCATGGTGTATTTTCCAAGCTCCTCCCCTCCTGTGTCTTCCTCAGTACTTTCCAGTTCCCTGGAGCTTCCCTTTCTGGTCCTCTAGCCAGAAACCTGAGCTCCGGTTATTCTGCTCTACTAGAAATTCCCACAGTTTCACTTGTATCTATCGTCAAATGGTGGGAAATTCAGAGAGAGAGGAAAAAAGCAAAATGGGGGTCAGCCGCATCTTCGTGAAATTAAGGTTCCACTAAACAGGTAGGTTCCCCTCCCTTAGAGGTGTGGATGTTGCAGGTTTTCATTGTTGCTACCTCTGCTGCTGCAGCCACCATGACGGCCTGAACCACAGGATTTCCTGGGGGCTGAGGTGTGAGAGAACCAAGAAAAGAAAGGTAAATATAAGGGACTTCTATCCCCTCTCTGAGGTTAAGAGTTCCCTTGCCTAGTCTTCAAACCAGAGCTACATTGATTTTTCCCGGATTTCTCTTCGTACCACAGCACTCACTTTTGGATTTCTGGCTATGTTTGTTACATTCAGGCTGGAAGTACCAAAGAGGGAGGGGAATAGTCCTGAGTTAGAAAAGCAGAAGGGCAGTATTACAAATGCTCTCTTTTATTTTTTGTTATTTTTTTGAGTCAAGGTCTCGCTTTGTTGCCGAGGCTAGAATTGTAGTGGTGTCAGCATAGCTCACTGCAACCTCAAACTCCTGGCCTCAAGCGATCCTTCTGCCTCAGCCTCCCAAAGTGCTAGGAGTACAGCTGTGAGCCACTGTGCCAGGCTCACAAATGCTCTCTCTCTCTCTCTTTTTTTTTAAAGACTAGTCAAGTGAAGCAGTGGGAGTGGAGAAGGAACAAATGTCCTCTTTTAAAAGGAAATTTAAGGTCTCATTTCAGGTATTAAAAGAAAATGCCAGTTCAGCAATACCTTGAATTCTGGTATTCTGCTCTGATTCATTTTCTGTTTACTTTTCAGAAATCTCAAATAGCTGTTCCATGCATTCTGTCCAGGTTTTATGGTTTCATTCAATGGGAGGGACAGGATATAATGTGTCTACTCCATCTTACCTCTGTTAAATCAAACTAAAATCTGGCCTGAGAAAGTCTCTGTACTCACATACTTGAGTTCTTATATATGAATCATAACCTAACTTAGTAGGTAAGCCAACTGAAAACCTAACTTAGGAGTATGCTTCTGTAATGATAGATAGCTGGGTCTCAGCCAATCCTGTTACCGAAAGCTTGACACTTGTTCCTGAGGCTGCATCAGAAAAATGAGGACAAGTGGTTTGAGGAGAAGGAAAGAAAAGTTTATTAATTCACCAGCAAATGAGAAGGTTGGCAGACTCCCGTCTGTACCAACTTTCTGCCTCTGAGCAGAAATGCAGAGCTTTTAAAGGGGGATGTTTCAGCTTCAGGGTATTGCTGTTAAACTATAGTTGATGGTAGTTGATGGTTCTGATTCATCTCATCTTGGGCTAAGACAATCTCATGACCTCTGCTGGACAACTTCTTTCAGTCATCTCCTGTAGTACAAAGAACAAAGGACCACTGCCCTAGGGCAGGGATGCAGGTTTTAATTCTCAAAAGGTGTGGGGGAGATTTTAGACAGAAAACATTTTTACCCTTTTCCAGGCCATTCCCCGTGTTATAATTATAGTGGCCATACTTCAACCACTTACAGGTGGCCAACTGTTCAAACCCCGTTCAAGTAAGGTAAACACCAAGCTATAACCAATCCAGCTGTTTCTGTACCTCGCTTCTATTTTCTTTATGGCACTTTCTTTTTTCTGTCCATAAATTCTCTTCGACCATGACCGTGAGACAATGCTGGAGTCTCCCTGAATCTGCTGTGATTCTGAGGGCTGCATAATTCACAATTCCCAAATCATTTTTTCCTTGCTCAGTTAAACTCTGTTAAATTTAATTTGTCTAAAGTTTTATTTTTTAACACCTGGAACAAAACCCTAATTTTCCTCTTGAAAGAGACCATTTGTAATACTGCCACCATCCTTTTTGCTTTTCTTTTCTTCTTCTTCTTTTTTTTTTTCCTCTGTGATCCTGTGGAATCTTCTGCTTTTCTAATTCAGGACTATTCCCCTACTAGGGTACAGCTTAAATCATATTACTACCTTTTTAAAGTCTTTATTAGCTCTCCATTATGTCTAGGGTTCAAACTCTTTATTTCAGCACTCACATTCCCCAGCTGCATGTATCTCATATTCAAGCCTAACAGGAATACTCGTGGATATTGGGGAGAAGAGGACTTTCCCTCTACCCTCTGAACTTTTGACTTTTGGGTCTGTGAAATAAACTGGCAGTAGATAGATTAACAGGAAAAAAGGCATACAAATTTATGATGTGCATGAGCATGGGAGTCTCACAAAATATAAGACTGGATGAAGGCCAGATGATTGAAGATTTTGTAGTATCCTGAGCTACAAGAAATGCATAGGGGCCTGGGGCTTTCATGGGGAGATGGTGATAAGCTGGGATGATGTGGAGAGGAAATGGCTGGTGAACAAATGTTGTCTTGTTATGCAGATGAAAGTCTCCCAGATCATAAAAGTCATCTGGAGCAGACCTCAGAAGAATAGGGTGATAGTCTTTGACAAAGTTTGTTTGTGTCTGACCTATTGTCTTTTCTGTGGTACAGTTAATCTTCCCAAATTGGTGAGATTCCCAGGGAGGGAGTACATGACAATTGAGTTCATTTTTGGGGGATCTATCTTTAGGTAAATAAGGGAACTTCAGAGAAAGCCCCTTCCTACACTTCAGGGGAGAAAGAGTGATAAAGTCAGGAGGGCAAGAAAAGGTCGGAGAGATCTTGATTGTTTTGCAGTTCAAAGCACTCAGTATGCTAAAACACACCATGCTTTGGGGTAATGTTTTCTGATTCCCAACACTGATATATACTTATCTTATTCCACATTTATAACTTTGTTTATGTAATTCTCTCAGCCTAAAATAATTTTTCAACCTTTCAATTTCTGCCTCTTCAAATTCTACACATCTTTTAAAGCTCAGATGCACAACCTTCTTAAAATTTGTTTTAGTTACCTGCCTTGCTCTTATGTGCTCCCCGTAAGAGGAGTGTGTGATCTCTTCAGCCTTTGAAAATCTGTCATTTTTGTTTGGCCTTTTTCATGGTATGTATATATACTTTGCCTTAGGAGAGGTGTGTGGAGGAGAGGTTTATGTGTAGACATACAGTAACTGTCTGGCACAGGCTATTATGCTTCAGATCCAGCAGATTCAGGCAGCATTTAGTTACTACTGTGTACTTTTTTACCTACTCACCTCTAACAAATCTTTGAAATAGTTATTCTAAATCTTCATATGAGGACACTGAGAATAAGTAAAGTAACATTATTTTAACTCTTCTTCAGTGGCTGTGAGTCTCTTGAGTGCAGGGATTTCATACAGGTTGAATATCTTTTATCTGAAATGCTTGGGGCCAGAAGTGTTTGGATTTTGGATTTTTTCAGATTTGGGATGTTTAACCTATATTCAATTCTCTACCACCTAATGCTTAACATAGAGTAGCTACTCAGTAAACATAGCAATAACCCCAACTTTTTTCTTCTTTCTACAGTACCTTGGCCATGTAGAAGTTGATGAATCAAGAGGAATGCACATCTGTGAAGATGCTGTAAAAAGATTGAAAGCTGTATGTATTTGATGGTTGCCAGTGTTGATCTATATGCTGTCAGTATTTTCTTAAAAGATTTTGCTCAGTAAATTTCAGTGACCCAGTATCCATTAAGAGCAGTGTTTCTCTTAAAGCAAAAGATGTGGACTTACTAATAGAAGCGTCTCATGTTGTTTATCCAGAGGTATAAATTATAAAGACAAACCTCTTTGATTTAGGTCAGACATTATCCAAAAGGTATTTTTGATTTATAACCCATATGAAACAAGTGATGTGAAATTTGATAGAAGGATAATTTTCTAAAACCAGGATGAAGCTGTTAGTTAACATGTTAACCTAATTGTGATAACTGGATTATAAATTATGAATTTTAAATCTGTTATTAGAAACAGCTTTCTGGGAAAAAGTAAGAGATAGGGATATCTGTGTTGATGCCTGTTGAGACTTACTTTCTTGGAGACTTCATTATTATCTTGACTCCTACACCCCAATATTTTTCTCTGTATTTCTCTAACATAATCTATTTCTACTGCCTTGTTCATAAACTTTAGCACACTGGAATGAAGAGCCCTTTCCCAGGATAAATAATATTTCCTTTGCCAATTATGACATAGAACACATCCCAAGTCATGCCTGTATATTTCATAAAAGGAGAGAATGGGTTCAGAATTCATAAAGATTCAGATTAAAGTGCTAAATTTCAGATTTTCGATAGGTTGGAGGAATGTTTCATAGATCCAACAGCCCTCTTTACAACCTTCCTTCTCTCCAGTATGTCCCCACTTTGCTATGAAAGCTTTAAGCATTACTTATGCATGCCCCTGCCCCAAAGAGCATTAAATACTTGTTGCTTTGGGTTTGCTGGTATGATGGGCTGCCACAAGTTTGACTGCTAATGTGTGCTTTTTCTCTCAATTTGCTTAGTAATCAAAAATGTTCTGTTTCTTGGTATGTTCTATATTAACTCTTATCTATAATTCCGCAATATAAAATACATAAAATTAAGGAAGCAGCCAACTCAGGTAGATTTTATTTTGGAATAAAGGCCTGAATCTATTATAGAAAGGAAAGGAGGAGAAAAATAACTGATTGTAATATACAAAGAACTAAAAAACAAAACAAAACAAAAATAGACACATACATGGATACATATATGTATCTGCACTTACCCCTTACCTCAGATTTTAGTCATTTAAATTTTTAAATGATGGAAGCCTTTCCTAGTCTTATCTGTGCTCTCTAATTCATCATTTATGTTAAGGGGACTTATAACCATGTACTATGGTACATGAAACTATAGTTTGTAGTTTTGCCATGTCCACTTAAATATATTCCCCAATTAAACACAGTCTCAGATAATTTTCCGTTTTTGTCAAAACCAATTGAAAAGAGAAATTAAAATTCAATTTCTCCTTTAATAAAATAATTCTAAGTTCATCTAGAAGAAGAATAGCTAAGAACATTTTTTTAAAGTAATGCAATTATTTGCCCTACTTAAAGAATATTTTATAACACTGTATTACTTATAACTGAAAACAAATCAATGAACAGACTAAATAGACCTAAAACAAACTATAAATAATTATTCAAATCCTATAACTTATATAACTTATGGTTAAAAAGCCACTGTGGAATGAGCCTTTACAAAATCTTTTAATTCAGAGTATGGCTTCATGTCCACTCTCTAAATAAGGAAAAACTAGAGATGGATTAAGTTTGCCCAGAAGATATTGAGAAATGGTATTTAGTTGTTTAATGAACAGTTAATCCTCTTAACTGTCTAGTTTTTGGTTTTTTAAACAGCATTTAATTAGAAACATTTCTTTATTACATAAGTAATATATATTTATTGTATAAAATACAAGTGAAGAAAAAAAGTACATAAATAAAATGATCTTACACAATCCCAGAGTTAGACACTATTTAACTGTCTAGTTCTAAAACTAATTTTTTAGTTGAATGGATTTTTTTTTTTTTTTTTTCTGAGACAGAGTCTCACTCTGTTGCCCAGGCTAGAGTGAGTGCCGTGGCGACAGCCTAGCTCACAGCAACCTCAAACTCCTGGGCTCAGGTGATCCTCCTGCCTCAGCCTCCCGAGTAGCTGGGACTACAGGCATGCGCCACCATGCCTGGCTAATTTTTTCTATATATTTTTAGTTGTCCGATTAATTTCTTTCTAATTTTAGTAGAGACGGGGTCTCGCTCTTGCTCAGGCTGGTCTCGAACTCCTGAGCTCAAACAATCCGCCTGCCTCGGCCTCCCAGAGTGCTAGGATTACAGGCGTGAGCCACCGCGCCCGGACGATTTTTTTTGTTTTATTTTACCTTTTTTTTTTTTTATTAAACCAAGAAGATGATAGACTATAAGCATGATTATTTCAGGCATAGGACTATTTAGATAATAAAATTTAATGAGTTTTTATATTCACCAGAAATAGGAACTAAATTGCCACTTTAAAAATTATACCTATGCCTGGAATAGTGTCTGGCACATAGTAGTCACTCAAAAAATATTTCTGGAATGAATATACAGAATACAATCCAATCTTCAATATTATGGTCAAATTGAATCTTATAATCATCATAATTATATCTTATGTTTAATGTTTTAAGTTTACAAAACCCTTTTGCATATCTCTAAAGATCTTTATTTCCCTATGGTCTTTTATGATTTAAGGAAAGTTTTATATGTTGATGATTGCTTTTCTGGACATGCTTAAACTTTTGAACTTTGAGAGAAAAATCAGCCACTCCAGGACTTTTCATTAAGAAGTTATTTAAGTTTTTTCAGACAAACTCTATCTAGGAGACTTAGAATAAATGTTATATATAGTTTTGCATTGGAAAACCTGTATTATAAAAAAATAAGATTGGAGTGTTGGGTAACTGGGGCAAATTTCCTGTTTATTATACTCAATGACACTTCTCCCTTCTATAAATACCTTTTCTATTTCTATAAATACTGAGAATCTTGTAGACAGTTGGAAGTCTTCAGGATGTTGTTCTTCTCACATCAGACTAGTCCACATAAATTTATGATTTTTGTCTTCCTTTCATATTTTTACTATACAGAAATTTCTAATTGCCTTTTTTTTCCTCTGAGCAAACATTCATCTAACAAACTTCACTGGGGATCTACAACTTGCTGTGCCAGATACTTATATTGTGCCAAATGCTATGTCTCTGGAGGATTTTTGTCTTTTTTTATAGATTATAAAGCTTCCTCTTCTACAGAGGATTAAAGAAGAAGTAGAATGTCTTTAGAATTAGTTCGAATGCCAAAGTTTAAAAATTTTAAAAATTAAATAGCTTAGATGTTCCAGTTAAGTAGTGAAACAAAGATTTTAAACCTATCATGTGAATGATCTTTGAGCTAAAAATTTAACATTTCTAGTGCTTTTTAAATTTATGAAGAATTGAGGAAGAAGAGAATTTGCAAGTATATTTGTGTGTGTGTTTTTCCCCAAGTAGTCTCTTAAAATTTAGAATTAGATTAGCTTCAGTTGGAAATCATCTGCATACTTGATGTTCTCTAATGAAAAAAAAATCATAACTAAAAAAGATAGTGTTTTAAAAATATGTTCCTCACAGCATAAATATGTTAATTTTGTTTTTACTTTCCATGCATAGAGTTAGTTGCTACTATTTTCAATTCATTTACTTTGTGACATAACTTCATTAATTAGCTACTTTGGGATTTAAATTGTATAGGATAATTGACAGAAATGGCTTATTGTTCGTTTTCATTGCCTTTATGGCATAGTCAGTTGCAGGGTGAGGAATATTGTTCTCTATCAGTCAATTTTGCAAAATGTGTATCAGGCCTCGTTTGACTCTAGTCCGAGATGCCCTTCATTTTAAAAGGTCATTTCTTCCCATTGTCTCTTAAATGTCTTTCCCTCTCTGTCTTGGTTTTAGACTAGTTTCATTATACTACCAGTTTCTAATATGTTGTTTTTTATTCACTATTTGATATATTTGTTTTAATATATGTTCTTGTTTTAGCAGGTAAAAGAATCATAACAATTGTTTTTTAAAAGAACATTAATATTATTCTCTAATACCTGTCTTTTTATGCATTTTGCACGTCACCTTTTTTCATTAACATCTGGGGTCTTTTGTAAAAAGAGGAAAAACTCCATGTTTAACGAGCTTTTCTAGGAGCTAAATTAAAGGATAACGGATCTCCTTCCCTCACCTTCCCATCCCTTAAGAATGGTGAATCTCCTAACTTTGGCTGCATCCTTGAAAGCTGGTGGTTACTCAGTCTAACAAAACTAGGGTCACCAAATTTGGCAGCAGAAATAATCTTAATCTTATTGTAATGACTGGCACGATTACTTTATTATTTTTTTTTTCCAGCTTAAGTTCAGAATATTTTGTGGAAATATTTGATGCTGCTTGCGATTTTCAAAACTTAGGTGGAAAACAAACTTTCTGGTTCTGGGAGCATTGAATGAGTTTATAAATTATTTAAGAGAGTCAAATTTCAGTACAATTATATTTTCCTAGACATTTATCCAACATTAAAAACTGATGATTATAAAAAGTAAAGGCTTAAACTATATTTCAACCACTGCTAAAAATGTAAAGTGAAAGCAGCTTGGGGGTGAGTTAGAACCCATCCACTTTGCATAAATTCTTTAGATTTTAAATGGTGGCCAGTTTTCACAAATGGTGCTTAAAAATTGATGCTGGTACCATATATAGCTATGCCTCTCTTATCCAGATAGTTTCTGAGTTATATACTTACAAATGTCAATGCAAGTTTATTTTAAAACAACAGCTTGTAAAAAGAAAATAAAACCGTATTCCTTAAATTTCAGTTGTGGTCCAAAGATGTTATTTGATTCTTAAGATATTTGTTTTCTCAGCTCCAGTTTAAACATTAGCCTTGTGTTCTTTAAGATAATTTATTCTGTATCTGGAATAGAACATATCCGTTATTTCCCCATGTGTGTTGTGAAATCGATCAGCACACACATTTATATGGATTGATACTAATGAGTAAGTGGAAAGTCAATGGTCAAGCTCCCCTTAGGGAGTATGAAGGATTCTCTAAGGGACATTTTAAACTCATCAAGAAAAACTATGACAAGGACCCTTGATGCATACTCATTTAATTTTATATATTGCATTTTTAATGTGATTATGTGGTCATTTGAATGTGGACTGATTTTTTAATTGATGACTTTCACACAGTTGACTACTGATTTTAAATTGAAAAATGTATATGGAACCAATCTTCTATTTTATACTCATTATTATGAAATTTAAATGCAAATCTCACTAAACCAATGTGTCCTAATCTTTTTATCTGCTGCCAAATTTGGAAAATATGTTTTAAAAGTGTATAGTGATTACTAAACTAACTAGTTGCTCTGCATGAATAGAGGTTCTGAATTCTTCTCTTTCCATGGATTCTTAGGCCGTACAGTGTGTTTCCCTGCATTTTCATGCACCCTTCCTTAGCCCTTTGTCACTCCTGGTATGGATAACTCTTTAAAACTCTCACCCCCTTCCCTTCTCCCACTTTTCCCTTTCCCCAACTTCTGTATGTGCTTATTGGTGTGAAACCCTGGGACATTTAGTCCATACAATAATAGCACTCGACTTGTCCCCCTGTTCCTCCAGGAAAGGAAGTTCTTCAAAGGCTTCTTTGGAAAAGTAAGTTTAATGACACATTTGTGCTTGCTTTATAAGGAGTTACACCCCTAGTATAGCACTGACTTATTTTTAAAAAGTAGTACAGCTTTGGTTTCTTTATAATACAGGAATTGATTTGACTGTATATAGACATTAATAAATTAGAAAGTTACTATCTATGCTATTATCTGTGTGTCTATGGATACTAAATCTGATGATTCCTAGGAAATTCCAATAAATGAATCCAGTAGGTTAGAAGAGGATTTTCTCTTCAACACTATGTATTAAAATAAATTTCGTTTGATCTTTCAAAGCTGTATTCATATTAGCAGTATTTTTAGCAACTAGATTTTGCTTAGCGCCCAATATTGACAGAGAAATGGGAAGAAATATTAAATTCAAGTGAATATTAAACATTTTACATTCAACAGTATTATATTTTTTCCAATCTGACTTAAATTTCAGCTGAAGTAAATGAAAGTACATAAACTTATCTTTTGGGATCCTGCTATGATTTTTTAACCTGGGTTGCTAATCTAAAAAAACCCATCTTAATTATTAGTCTACCAAATACCTGTCATATGTGGAATGTTGTTTATGTAGATGCTTTTCAAGTAATGATTTCTTAATGTTCAGATCTCCTTAAAAGTAAAAATGTATAGGGTGGCAGTACACATATAAGTAAATATATTTCTAACATTTTCATGTCCAAGTTTTTTATTGTTTAGTTTTGGGTAAGTGCTATAAAGTAATTCAGACTGAGACAGAATAAGAGAGAAATACTGTCATTAGATAACTGAGTGTAAATTTCTGAAAGTTTATGTGAGTATAAAAATCACAATTGGTTTTCTACTTGGTGGTTTTGTTATTTTTGAAATTTGTTTTAAAGAACAAATCATTTCCATTTCCTTCTCAATTAAATGTTTTAGCTGTAGCTCATTTTTACATTTTCTTCTAATTTAGGTCACTTTTATACTAATGTAAACAAATTCGAAGTATTTTAGATCTAATGATTTAATTCAGTTATTGCTATCAATCTGAAATGAAAAGTTACATAATTTACCAACACATGTCACAATAACATTTTCTAGTAGACATTTTTAGTCTGAGTCAAATTAAGAAGTCCTTAGAATATGGAATACATATCTAGAAAGAATCCTGTAGACATTTACAGCACTATAAATAGATATTATATTTGTTAAGGAAATTGATAATTGTTAAGGAAACTTTTTCTGTAGTATTGTTCTTTCCCAAGTGGAATTTATTTATTTATTCCTTTCTTTCTTTTTCTTTCTCTCTCTCTCTCTTTTCTATTCTTTTTTTTTTCTCTTTTTTCTTTTCAAGAGACAGGGTCTGGCTCTGTTGCCGAGGCTGGAGTGCGATAGCTCACAGCAGCCTTGAAGTTCCAGGCTCAGGTGATCCTCCTGCCTCAGCCTCCCAGGTAGCTGGGACTATAGGTGCATGCCACCACGCCCGGCTCCAAATAGAATTTCTGGAAGCAGTTACATGTTACCACAGTTATCATACAATTTGAATTATCTTCCAAGTGACCAGTTTTGTCTATTTTAGTTAAAACAGCTTTGTCTATGAAGACTAGGTTGTAGAAAATTTTAATTTGGTTTATAGAAAAACAATGTTAAAACTATATTTTAGCAGGACACAGTGGTATGAGCTTATAGTCCCAGCTACTTGGGAGGCTAAAGCAGGAGGATCACTTGAGCCCAGGGAGTACAGCCTGGGCAACATAGTGAGACCCTGTCTCTAAGGGGAAAAAAAGTGTATATTTTTAAAGGTTATAGCATAGCGTTAGGGAACAAAAACAGCTCACTCTCCCTTCAAAATCAGTCCTCAGGTGGCAATATTTATTGGGCCATGATTCACCTACAGTGTAGCTGAAGTGGGTCACACTGTGCTTGTAGCTGTTTTCACTGTATTTTTACTACATGATGAATTTTTATGTCTTAAGAAAAAAAATCATGAATTGTCTCACTTAATCCTTAAATAACCCTGAAATTATTATTCTCCTTGTTTTACAATGAAGAAACTGAGGTTTACAGAGATTAAATGACCTGACTGAAATAACAGATATAATAAGTGGTAGAAGCTATGATTCGAACCCAGATAATCCGATTCCAGAGCCTACACTCTTAATCACTGTGTTATACAGTCACTCCATTTTCATATTATTTATTTATAAGTGAAATTTAAAAGATTTAACTTTAAAAGGTACTAGTAAATAGCTTCCTAGAAACTCACTTTTACTTTCTAACTTTCTTTTTAAAGGATACTAATTTAACTTTGGATTTTATTTCTGGCCTGTTTACTTTTTTATTAGTTAAAGCTTTAAAGAGCCTTTTTTCAGTGGTTCTAGCTAACATTTATTTTTATGGAAATATTTAAATTCTACCATAGGATTTAAGTAGTGTCCTTATCCTGAATGTCCCTTATCCAAAATGCTTGGGACCAGAAGTGTTTTAGATTTCAGATTTTTTCAGATTTCAGAATATTTACGTATACATACAAGATATCTTGGGAATAGGACCAAGTATAAACACAAAATTTGTGTTTTATAAACACCTATACCCATCGCCTGAAGATAATTTTATACAATGTTTTTAATAATTTTGTACATGACGTTTGTGTACGTTGAACCATCAGAAAGCCAAAGGTGTCACTATCTCAGCTATCCATGTGGACAGTCTGTTTTTTTGGCATCACCATCATTCCTGAGTCTGAATTTATGTGCTACCGATAAGCAATCATTTTCTTACACTCATTCACACATAAGAACTTAACAGTAGAAAAATGACACACCATTAATACAGTGAAAAAATAATGTGTTCAAGGTAACTAAGCAGCACAGTAGCCTCACCAATACCTTTACCAGGTGTTAAACAACAGCAACAGCAAACAGCAATTAATCTTCTGCTACAATGCTATGTTTTGATTAAAAGGTTACTGTATACTGTATTTTTTTAGGTGAAAAGAAGTATCAGAAGCAGTTGAGGGGCCAGAAAGTGAGTCTTCTAGGAATAAGGAGGCATTCTGCTGGATGGCTTTTTAAAGTGTTTTCTCCAGAGTCATTTGCCTCAGCAACAATGGTTTTTGTCTCAGAAGTCTCTCTTTGATTTTATAAACTGACATGATTTCTTGTTCTAAGTGCACACAGCTCTAGTATCACAGCTAAAGGGGGCTGGGAAGGTCTTTTTTCCCTTGGGGATGCTGAATAAACTGTTTGTTGTTAGCTTGGGTTTTAACTGTGACCCATTACATGAGGTCAAGTGTGGAATTTTCCACTTGTGGCATCATATTGTTGGCACTCAAAAAGTTTCACATTTTTGGAGCATTTTGGATTTCAGATTTTTGGATTAGGGATGCTTAGCCTGTAGTGAGTTTGACTCTTAGAACGAGATTTCTTTAAAAGATGCTAAGTGATCCCATAATAGTGTCCATGAACAAATGTGACTATCAGAATTCTTTTCTTATGTTACTGGAAAAAAAATTGTTTTATGGCAGGGTGATTTTACCTCACAGTCATTCAAAGAATTTGGAAAACGGGGGGGAAATATCATCTATAATTTTACCCAGATTGTGCTTTTAAATGAAAAACTTTTCTATAATTTGGAGGCTTTTAAGTCTTTCAAGTTATTCAACTCAATACCACACTAACCTGCAAGAAATAGTCTGGTGAAAGAAACTTTATTTGTTGAGTTTGCTAGGCAATTGTAGTTTGATGAAAGCTTAAAATGAAGAATCTTATAGAGCAGTATACGATAGGGTGTTTTTTATTCCAGTGCAGTTCCTCATAAAGTTTGATAACTTTGTTATTCTTTGAATCATGTATGGTTTAATGATCCAGGATAAATAGAACAACAGTACTCAAGAAGTGTTAACATTAAACAGTTTTTCATAAAAGTAGGTAGATGGAAAAATTGTTAGCCCCAATTCTGGATTTATGAATGATGGCCAGGAGGACGTCTTCCTCTTTTCCCTAAGTCTCCTCCTGGACCTGACCACTGTCACTTCCCTATTGCTGAATCACTAGCTGACTGATGAGAGCAGTGCCTCCAAAAACCGTAGCAATAAGGAACAGATAAACATGGGTCTGTTACAAGGCTGTGTTATTTAATCCATTGTAAGGTAATCTATATTCCCATTTTATGAAGGAACTCTCTCAACATAGAGGTACAAACTATTCTTAGGCCACCCTACTAGGTCCCTTTTTAAAGCCATTTAACTTGTATTTATATAGAGTTTTATAGTTTATGATATGCTTTGACCTGCTTTTTAATTTGCTGTTCACAACAGCTCAATGAATTAGACAGAGTAGTTCATGAAACTGCATTTTACAAACAGAAGCTCAGAGAGGTCACCCAGCTAGTACTAAATGGCAGCACCTACGCTGAAACCAAGGTTTTCTGAAATGTGCGAAATTCTTTCACCTACCCCATGTTGATGTTCTCTCATTCAAAAAGCATTGGCCTCTGCTTTTCTCAGGTATGCCCTAATTACAATGATTGGAGAAGTGTCTAATGCAGAGGATACTAAACAGCCCAACGACTGAATGTATCCACAAACATAGATTGTGTGGCTTGCACACAGTTTGTATATTTGAATTAGTTACAAGTATTTTAAACATCGAGTGTTTTCACATAAAAACTGGGATATCTGTCTTAAGAATTAGGAGATCTGACAAAACAGCATGGTTTCTATGTGGCAACAGTGGCTTTAGCTGAGTAGCAGCTGTGCCCTTTGCCTGTTCACCACAATCCCTGCAACTCCTTTTTGTCCCTTAGACTCAGCCTGCTTCACTCACTTTATTACCTGCCTTTAAGACTGAAGGCATTTGAGTTTGTGAACTCCTCCCTGGGCTATTATGTCACTTTGATTTATTTTTCTTTGTAGCAATCACTTCTAACTGTATAAAATTACCAAAAATATTATAATATCTGTTCTAGCAGATCCTGTTAATGTACTGCCAAATATATTTTTTTCAAGTGTTATATTTTTGCACTTGTTAA